GAGAGCTGCACCTGCCGCAGCACGATGTTGACGTTGAGCGAGAGCACGTCTCCCAGCTTGACGCAGTCAGTGGCGAGGCGCGTCGACAGGTCGCCAGGGCCTTGCTCGTCGTGGAACGCCTGGGCAACGAGGGTGGCGATGAGAGCAAGAGTCGAGACATGGATCAACAGCGGCTATGCTTGTCGTGCAAGGCCTGCGGCTGAGCGAGCAGCGCGTCGAAGAGCGTCGCACGCAGCCGCGCCACCAGCCGCGCGCCGCACACCCAGAAGCAAAAGCCGCGGATGCCGGTGAACACGGCTGTGCCAAGCCCGACCGCGGCGAGGCGGACGAGGGCGGGCCGCAGCGGAGCGAGAGAGCCCGCGGCGTCCGTGCCGAGCCCAAGCGCCGCGTTGAGCGCTGCGCCCTGCAGGGCAGGCAGCAAAGCGTCGCCCGACGCGGCGACGGCGAGGCACACGAACGCCGTCACGAGCGGAGCGGCGTCGGGCTTGCACAGGGAGAGGAGGGTCTTCCATGGTGTCTTGACCTTCTTTGCGGGCGCCGCTGACAGCACGGGACGGCCACAGCGGCCACAGCGCAGGCCGGACAGGCCAGATGGCCGGGCCACCACTGGCTGCAGCGGGTGTAGAGCGACCGCAGCGACATGCTTGACACGCGCATCGGCCGCCAAAGTTACGGGCCGCGGAAGAGCAGGTATTGGCCCGGCGCGCAGTGCCACTGCTGCGACGGCCAGGGTCACGAGCGAGCACATGAGGCGGCGAGAGCACCGACTGCCAGAGCCGACCGATAAAGAATTTTACGACCAAACTCCCTCGCACAACACGATAGACACCGCCACATTCCTGAGACGAGCGAGGGAAGCCTCCTTAAAGGCGAAAGGGTCTAGATTTGGGGCGCTCGCCGAAGAGGAGTACGACAAAATAGCACCCGTGATTGCCTGCACGCTACCCGCACTCACGGACTCCATACCCGAAAGAAAGAGAAGGGACCTCGCGGGAGAGGTGACGAGTGAACTACAGGTAGTGGGGAAGGCAGCCTCGATTGCCATACAGACATGGGTGCGAAACAACGACAAGACCAAGGCACGGGCAGAGGAACGAGAGAAGAATATAGGGTGGATAAAACGCCTGTTCACGGCATGGAGGGTGAGCCACACCGAACGTACCGAGCGAAGAGCCGAGCGGAAGGAGGACGGGGAAGATGACTCAGAGGAGGACGAACCAGTGGAAATTCAGTTGTCAGATGTCACGATGCATCCGAAGGGGACCCCAGCGCCGGCATCATCCGTAGAAGAGAGGCCGAGATGGCGGAGGCGGCTGCGGAGGCGGATCGGCACGCGGAAGCGCTTCTGGCGGATGAGGAGGCGGAGAAGGAGGCGGAGCAGCGCGCCAAGGAGCGCAAGGCCAAAAAGAAGAAGAAGAAGAAGAAGGGCAAGGGCGGGGGGAGCGGCGGCGGGCCGTCGCAGGAGCCGGAAGGCGAGGAGGCGGAGGCGCTTGCGGCGGCGGAGGGGGAGGCGGTGGCGGCAGCAGAGGAGGCGGAGCTGGCGACGGCGCTTCAGGAGAGCGCGAGGCTGGAGGAGGAGAGGCGGGTGGCGGAGGAGCAGCCGCCCGAGCCGGAGGCGCCGCCGGCCGACTTCATCTGCCCCATCACGACCGAGGTGATGAGCGACCCGGTGATGGCGGCGGACGGCCATTCCTACGAGCGGAAGCAGATCGAGCGCTGGCTCGCGACCAAGTCGACGAGCCCCCGATGACGGGCGAGGCGCTCCAGCACACGCACACCTTCCCAAACCACGCGCTGCGCGGGCGGATTCGAGAGTGGCAGAGGCGCGCATTGAGCGGTTTCGCGCGTTCTCGTGTGTGGCTGAGCGGGCGAGCGCGCGCTGTGTGCCTCCACGCCTGGGGCCTGGCACCTGGGCTCGTACGAGCGCAATCGCTCGGCGTGGTTTCTTAATGGTAAGCGGGTTTCTTAATACCCGCAACCCACTGTAGACGTAGTACGTGGCTCTAAGTCCTAGGCTCGCAGATCAGCTAGCCATCCCGTAGACGTTGGCGAAGATCTACAATCCCCGGAGCCCGCCGGCGTGCCTAGGTGCGCGTCTCGTCAAACCGGAACTTGTCCGCCTCGGAGAGGACAGACCACGCCACCATGTCTGCGACCAGGTTGGCCTGGGCGCACGTGTAGCCGCCTCCCGACGCGAGCATCGGGAATGTCTCGCCCCCCAGCGCGAGCACGTCGTCGGGCACCTATTCACGGCTGGGAGCGTGAGAGGCGCCCATCACACACGCAGAGGTGTGACGAGCACACGGGCACCGTCTCGGTGAAGCGCTTCGGCGCGTCCATGTAGTGCACGACCAAGTCGATCGGCCCGTACGCCTCGACGCCGTAAAAGTCGTTTTCGAGCACCTACGGGGTTGCTGACCAGCCCGTCACCGCCGGGGGCCTGCTCGGCGGCGGAGGGTCGGTCTCGAAGGCGCCTTGATCCCGCGCAGCTCGGCGATGAGAGGCCGGCCGGCGGCGCGGCAGCTGTCGAACTGCGCGACCATCTCGCGGAAAGCGGACACCTAATAATTAACTATTAATTATTAATTACATCTCGCGGAAAGCGGACACCTACGGCCCGAGAGACGCGCTCGCGGAAGGGGCGCCCGCCGCTCTCTCCTCGCGGACGGCGGGCGCCTCGAAGAGCTACATCTCGGCTTATCCCGGCTGCATCTCGGCTGCATCTCGGCTACATCTCGGCTTATCCCGGCTGCATCTCAGCTGCATCTCGGATGCATCTCGGCTGCATCCCGGTTGCATCTCGCGCCTCGAAGAGCTTGTTCTGCGAGTAGGCGTAGCCGCCCATCCGCCGCTCGTCCTTGCGGATGCCAAACAAGGAGGAGATGTGCGAGTCGACGGGCTTCCACAGCGCGCCTGACCATGCATCGACCCACCATCAGCGAGTTGGTGTACCGGGCCTCCAAGCCGCCGACAGGCGTCCGCAGCGCACCGCCCGACTCGGCGAGCGTCGCGTACGGTTGCGGGCCAGAGAAGAACTGGACGACGCGGGTACACTTTCGGCGCAGCAGCGCGGGCAGCGCGGAGCAGTCGTGCATTCCGCCGTCCACAAAGAGCAGGTCCTGCGCCCGCCGGCCGTCGAAGGAGGGCGAGACGCGGTACCGCTGCAGCGCCCAGTTCTGCGCCGCCCAGTCCGTCGCCCGGTCCAGCAGGCAGTCGTTCAGGCATCCGTCCCGCCCGACCCCGCCTCGCACAAAGTCGCCGAGCGCGGAGGAGGTGGTGCCGACAACGTCTCGCAGCGTGAAGGCGGGCGGACCGCAGTACGTGTTTGGCCGTCCGCAGAAGCAGGGCAGGCTCCACGGGTAGAGGCAAGGCGGCGCGGCGGAGGGGAAGCCGCAGCACTGGAAGGAGGCGGGCTGCAGGAAGCGCGTGATCGGCACCGTGCCGGGCTGCACGGCGAGGCTAGGCGCCGGGAGGGCGACGCAGGGCAGGCAGCAGCAGGAGATGTCGGTCTGCATGGGCGGCCCCTTGTACCCTGTCGACACCTCGTCCGGCGTCGCCTCGAAGGTGACGAAGCTCGCGCCCCCGTGCGCCGCCCGAGCCGCGTGCGCGTCCCCGTACTCCTCCGCCGCGTCGTCGTCGCCCGTCGCCTGCCAGTGCGCCCGCTGCACCCGGCGCGCGTGCGTGAAGTTGCGCGGCGCCGACGGGCCGGCGAGGGCGAACGAGATGATGGGCTGCGCGCGCACGTCGGGCCGCTGCACGATGAAGTCGGAGCGGCGCAGGCGCGGCGCGGCGGCGATGGCCTTCTCGACGGCCGCCTGAGGGGCGGGAGGGGAGAGCGGAGAGGTGGAGGGGCGGGAATACGAGGACCCAGATCGTGTTTCAATTGTTTCAGATCCTGTCTCTGTTTCTGCGGGTTTTGTGGATTCTCGGCGAGTTTTCGAAAGGTTCTGTGGCTTCCGCCGGTCAAATCTGTGCGGCGCAACTGCGTGCTGCTATTCCAGTGTGCTGTCTCGGCACGCCTCGGACGAGGCGGTGATGAGCCGGCCGTCGACGCCGTTCGGCTTGAGGTAGATCTGGTCGATCATCCAGAGCCAAAACTCATGCGGGTCGCAGCAGCAGGTCCACGCGAACGAGGCACTCAGCGTCCAGGAGCGCAGCTTGGTGTAGTCCCCGATGGATATCCACGTCGACGCGCCGAGGCGGCCCCACGGCATAATCTCGAGCTCTGCCCGCCCCTCCTTGCTGCTGTAGTCGGGCAGCGCACTGGCTGGCGTCGGGAGGCGCGAGATTGTGAGCACCTCGTCCAGCGGGTCGGAGGAGTAGGCGAGGTGCGCCACCGTCCAGCCCGAGCCGCTCACGCCAGAGATATGAGTCGCCTCCGAAAGGAGGCCGAGATGGTGCATTGCACGCATGAAGCCCCAAGAACCCGCGTGCGCCCTGGCGCCTCCGCCGTTGAGGGCGATGCCCAGACTGGGGCGAGGCGGCTCGTCGTCCCGCTCGATTCTGCTGCTGGTGGGCGCGCTCATTCTGGATGTGGTGGGGCGGCAGTGATCCGGCCAAGAGTGTACCTCTCGAGGTACAGTGACTTCCTTTCGACGTTCGGGATTTTTGCTTTTTTTTGTGTTAAGCAAGGCGGAGCACACAGCACACGCATCGCTGTCGGGCCCACAGACATCCCGAAAACCCGCCGCCCCCCCGCGCGCGCCCCGGCCGGGAGAAAGGGGAGTGACAGTTTGGGACGGCGACAGACGAGTACCTCGCACTCCATGTTAGAGGGCTTCGTGGCAGCCTTCCGAGAAACAAATCTAGGAATGAACAACTCAACTCACTCAACATACACACTCACACTCACTCAACACAGTGTACAACAGGCTAGTAAACACCCTCTATTAAACACCCTCTTCAATCAGTTCTCACAGTGATCGATCGAGTGGGTGGGGGAGGATCGATCGGCCGAGCAGAGTGTGACACTTCCCACAGGTGTGTCCACCAAGCCGCCATCGATCGCGGGAGAACAGCGCATGGTGTGATCTGGCGCGGCTTTAGACCCACGTGGTTGACGTTTGGCAGAAGCCCCTGTCGCCGTTCTTGCCGAGAAGCGTCTTGTCCATCATCCGCTTCTCGTTCTGAGCTTGGACTTCAGCCCAACGGTGCTCGAGGGCGCTTGCCATGTCAACGAGCTGCGTCTTGTACTCATACGTCACCCCCGAGCGTTGGACGTTGGGCAACTCTGCGACCTTCCGCAGCTCAGCTGTCACGCTAGTGGTGTCGGCGTCGTCGTTCTCGTCGGTCCCATCGCGCATGCACTCGCTCCGCGTAGTGTTGCCGATCACGGTGACGAGGCCCGCCACCGCAAAGTTGCCCATGCGACCATCACCGCGTCCTGCAGTTGCGCGCGATCGTAGCTATTCCAGGGTCCGCTGCGCATCCCCGGCGGCACGACGGTGGCCGGCGCTTGCGCACCAGCCCCGTCCGCCACCCGGGTCCGCGGCCGCGGTCCCTGTCATAGCTACGCGCGCCATGGAGAACGGCGGTGTGTGTGTGTGTGTGACAGTTGTAACGTCGGCGCAAAGGCGATCGTCCTGGCAATGCCGACTTGTGTCCTAGTAATGCCGGCGCAAAGATTCAAGAAGAGGAAAAGGACCTAGCCGCGTCACAGGCGAACCAACCAATCAATCCTCGCTACTAAACGAAAGAAAGAAGGTGAAGAACATCCAGGCTCGGATTGGACACCAACGCGGTATGGGTGGAGGGCACTCGCGCACTCCTCCCCGCTGTACACACTGTAGTCGACCCCGTGAACTCTCACAGTCTGTGAGAGCCCCTGTGTGAAGAGTGCGTAAGGGGTTGGGTGGAGGCTGGCGAGGCACACTCCCACGCCTCACGCCCCCCCCCCCCCTTGCCCGGGGGGGCGAGGGAACCCGACAGTGCTGGGGCGAGCCTCGGCGAGACTGCGTCAGCTGTTAGAACAGCAGAAGAGGGCCTCGTGTAGCCCTCCTTTTGGTATATATATAAAACAGCAGAAGTCCTTCAGTGAGGCGGCCCGCGCCGCCAAAGCCCAGTCCCAGAGGCTATCCTGCCTAATGGCCGACCTGCCCAAAGTCTCGCTCGCCGACCTCCTCTCCGGAACCGTGCCTCTCGTCGACAGTGGCGGCGTCCGTGGAGAAGATGGCGGTGCTGGCAGCCATCCTGTGCGCAGCTCTGCCGACGCCCCTGTAATTGATCTCGATGCATCACCGCCGCCGCCGCCTTGCCAGCCGCTTTGCCGGCCGCTTTGCCAGCCGCTGCCGCCGCGCCCTGAGACCGGGTCTGCCGCCAACGCCACCTCCGCCTCCACCTCCACCTCCACCTCCGCCTCCACCTCCGCCTCCACCTCCGCCTCCACCTCCGCCTCCTCCTCCGCCACCTCCGCCTCCCCCTCCTCCGCCGCCGCCTCCTCCTCCTCCGCCGCCGCCGCATCCGCCTCCTCCGCCTCCACCTCCTCGCGGCCGCCACTGCTCGCGCCGCCCTCCAAGCGGCCGCGCCCCGCCTCCTCGGACCGCGAGCTCTTCCTGCACGGCGACGACTCGGCGCTGCCCGCGGCCGAGGCGGCCGCGTGGCGTGCCGCGGGACCCC